ACTTTCATTACTATGTTCCTAGTTCCAAGAAGCATGGAATCAAAATCCTTAATGTAAAGTTGTTCAAACAGCACTTTCACCAAATGATGAGAATGGAAATCAGAACCCACGATGCTCTGTTAATCCATGGCTTCTTCCAAAACACAAGTTAAGATCTCAGATGTTACCATGATACTTCATGATAAATGTATTATAAAAATCATAAATGGGTACAAATGTTTTTGTTTAGTAATCAACATTTATGTATATTACGTATCTGACTTGGAATACATATACCTTCTTATTAATACAAGAGTCCTGATATCAGAAGACCAAGGCAAGGCACAGAGGATAAAACCCATGGCCAGAGATGCCTAAGACTAGGAGGTCCAGCCCCAAAGCCTAGTTTCTTAATTGGTTTACTACAGAACCCAATGTTGTTTATATCTTAAAAATTGCTTCCAAAAATAAAGGCAAATTATGAAACAAACGAAGTCTACAAAGTGTGACTCCACACCCACAGAACACCCTTCCCAACAGGGCTCCGGCTGCATTTCCATGGTAACGGTAAAGGTTTAGATCAGGTATTTCAGAGGACACCTTTACCTACAGTCACGGGAAAACACATGCCTTTGTCCATTACCATAAGTTTATGAGAAATTTTCATACTTTTAGATCTAGCTTTGCTATTATGGGTAATAAAATAAAGAGGCCTAACATCAATCACAGCATGGCAACTTTTCAGCATTCAGATGTTCTACTGCAATGCACTGTCAACTTAAAGACAATAGGTAGGGCACAGCAACTTCCCCAGAGCACTCTTGATTTTCTACTTCCAAAGAGCAGGAGAGCTTAACAAGATCATTTGGAAATTTTATTTATTAAAATATCAATGATGAGCTGTTCCGTTTCTGTTAAGATCACACTAATACAGGCTGTTCCTAATACATTTTCTCTAGTTCCAGGGCCTTATTTAACAAGAAGAATAAAATACTTTCTGATAGATGAAATCAAGAGGTATTATAGAAAAGTTGGGGAACCAGGAACAAATCAATGGAGACAAATATTGTGATTTTCAACCAAAGAAACCCGCATGACAAGTCACCTGCAGAGACATACAGCAACCGCTAATCAGTGCCACCAAGTCCGATGCTCTGTCATTTCTTCCCAGACCAACGTCTCCTGAGTGTACTATGTACAAGCAAACACTCTAACAAGACTACAATCAAACTTTGAGACAAGCTCTCATTTTGTAGTTCAGGCTGGTCTCAAACACCATGTAGCCCAAGCTGGCTTCAAACCTGTGAACCTCGCCTCTGCCTCAACCTCTCATGCATACCAGATACACACGTGGTTGACTAACGAAGGAAACATTTCTGGCGCCAGTTACAGCTGACAATAGGCAAGCAGCTGTGAAGTTTCCCAAATAAATGATCGTTACACGTCAACTCCAACATACTAAATCAGAAATGTCTCTTCAGTGACAGGAGAATGTCACTCATGTCTGTCCAATCTTGAGATCCTCATGGGCCAGAGACAGAGCTAAGAAACATATAATGCCAATAAATGGTACAGTATCATATTCTTTATTTGTGGGGATGCTAGTTCATGCCAACTGCTCTTTGCTTCTCCATAAACAAAGAGACCAAAACAAAATAAAACAATCTTATTTTCAGCCACTGGTCAAGAAATTAGAGTTTGGACATCTACAAACCTGTGAGGTCACTGACAGTGTATATTCAACTGACTAAATATTAACATTTCTGGTGTTCAAGGCCTTTTAAGTTCTAAAAGAAAGTCCACAGACTTAGGAGATGAGGAATTTCCCATTTAAGACAGAGAACTCTTTGATTTATTTTTTTCTATTTCCTAGTTTAAGCACATTTACGGAATATGGTAAAGAGTATTAGTTGGGTACATTATCACCAAGAATGCCTTATCAATGGTTTCAGGAGTGGATCACTACCAGGTGTGTGTGGAGCGGCAACCATTCAGATTCAGCAGATGTGAGGAGGAAGAGTGGGCAGTGAAACAGGTAAGGTCACTGCAGTCATATCACACAGCTAAGAAAATATTACAAGTGACATATTTTAGGAAGAGAATGGGCTCCAAAGTCCTGACATGCTAAGAGTTTTAAAGTTAAAACATCTGTGCAGTGATTGACGAGGGGCATTTCATACTTCATCTCTTGTTGCCAGTGAATGCCGAGTTTACACCAGGGTAAACCAAACCCACAGGAAAATGGCTGAAGGCGCCAGAGCGCCTACAACCAGCAAATGGCACTGCTGACAAGAGCACCATTTGCCTCTAGCTAACTTTGTGCGCCCTGACGATTGGCTCTGGTTTAGATGGAAACCTCCTCTGTGAAGCATAAGGCTATCTGGTCATAAGGCCAATGCGCAGTGCGGCTATCAGTCAGGTACAGACACAACTCTTCTCCAACTGTGAGAGTTCAGGCTCTGCTCACCATTGGCTCCCTGCTGGGGCCATCCTCTTACTTCACTCAGGTCGGTACAGGAAAGCAGGTACTACTTACATTGACTCCACCATCCCTTTCACTGAAAGGAACATGCCTATGTCTTGCTGTAACATATTAAAATGATTGCTTTTGTTTGTTTTTGAGACAGGCTAGTCTAGAACTCACTATGCAGCCCAGGCCAGCCTGAACCTCGTGGTAATCCTGTTTCCTGAGCGCGGCAGGTCTCTGAAACCTCACCACACCCAGACTTAGAACAACAGTGTGAAATAAGGTCTGAACAGGCACTGCCGTTCCCGAGTGCTCACGCAGGTGGAAACAGCTTTGCTGTGCGTGCTGCAGCTCTGCTCAGGATTGTCCTTGTTTTTCTGGGCTGCATTCTAGTGTCTAAAGGGGTGGAAACCGAGTTATTATGTAACAAAGAATGCAGAAGACTTGCACTGGAGAGCCCAACCCTATACACTCAGGTCAACATGACTTTACACTGTGGCTTCTGTTGTCACCTAACAAGTCAGGCAGAGACCACTGCTTACTAACAGTCAGAAACACCCTTCTTAAAACAATCATGCAGTCTGATTAGTAGCTTGGTTTGAAAATCATTATGTCTATTGCTCTAGAAAGGGCCAACTAAAGTGAATGGATTTCTAAAGAGAACAGTGCTTCTCTTAAATATCTTGGTGAAGAGGAAATGAAAAGCCAGGTTAAAGGAGAAAAAAATGGCAACAGATTCACTATGGACAGTGTGGCGCTAGAGAAACCCAAGCATGTGCCTCCTTCTCCATACACATGTGACCTGATCCAGGAGCATTTACAAGACTCTAGAAGGGGATGATTGGCTGGGTAAGTGAGGCCCCCAGTTTTGATTCCATCTCCATAGTATTTGCTATCAGTAGTTTCTGGTCAGATAGCTAACATAATTTTATGACTGATACTACTCAGTGTCCGCACACAGACTGATAAATATTATAAGCAATGCTATATAAAGTCTCACGTATAGAACATTCCTAGAACAGGAACTTTGAACAGAAACTGGAACATCTGAGCTCCTCTCTTTTCTTCTATTTCTAAATTGTTCTTTATAGGAAATCATTGCAAACAAAATTTAAAGTAAAAATGCTAATTTTATAAAATCTGAGAAATAAAAAGGCTGTTATAATGCATTTCAGTAAACACTACCCAGACAAGCATAGTCCGTCCGTGTCCTCGACAGGGCAGCTCTGCGCTCTGACCTCACCGGTACTTGGAGGCAGCAGCCAAGGCACATGAGCCGTCAGGACCGCAGGAGGACAGTGTGAAGGAAGGGTGAACTGAGGCGAGATGTCCAGGAAGCTGAGCTTGACACAAAGCAGGTCACCTTCCAGGGGATTCTAAATATTAATTACCACAGCTGCTCTCCAAGAAGAGAAGACAGCGGACATAATTCTTACCACAACAATACACCAGTAGTAGAAAGCAAAGCAATTATTCACATTCTAAGAGCTTGGGGAAAATCAGAGAGAAGAAGAAAGCTTACAGACTGAAAGATGAAGTGAAATGGATTCAGATTTCATATTAACAGAAAAAAAAAAACTTAAGGAAAGAAAATTTCCCCCGAGGGAAGAGTAACTTCCTACAACTGGCTGAAAAAAGGCAGCTACAGAGCTGTGCTGGCAGCTGCCACACTGAGGTTCTGGGTGTCTGACCACTGACCATAACAGCCCATGGCTTAACCGCAGGAAAGCTCTACCTAGTCTACAACAGGAAAGCAGTGCAGCTCTTCCCATTATCTGGGAAGACCCCTGCCCTTCTGCCCTTGCCCTTCTGAAAAAGAGGCAGCAGAAGCCACAGGGCTGGGGACAAATAAGAGGTACAAGTAGCAGCATCTGAGAAGCACCCACTTCAATCCCCAGGGCAGCTCAGCAGGGCAGCAGGACTGTGCGACATGGACTAGATCGGGAGCAACATTCTCCTGAGGAAACCAAATGTGAACCCTACTTGTAGTATTCTGGTATGTTTTTAAAGAGACATCCACTGTTGCAGCCTGACAGCACTCTTCCAGTATTCTTAACCATCAGATGTATTTTGGGGGAATATTTATTCACATCATTTTGCTTAATGCAGTTCTTTCTACAAAGAGTGAATTTGAAAGTATCCACAACATTTTTGATTACAATAACAACACATTAATATTATAAATTTAAAAGATCTTTTTATTTGCTTAAAAATGATTTATCAAATGCTAACTTCCAGATTATCTGGAAAACTAAAAATGCAAGTTGCTAGAAATCTGGCATCCCAATTATATTCTGATTTTTAAAAGTATATAAAATGTCCCTCAAATTACTACAAGTCCCACTGCAGATGTGTTTATTTCACCCTTTTCATAAGGGATTAAATTTACAACTTGCTAAACATTTTACCAAACATGGGAAAACTGCCTGGCAATGCAAAGCACAATGAAGTAGTTACACGAAGGGAAGAAAAGACCCCGTTAGGACAGTCACTGCGGCCCCGGCATGAAGACCTGCAAATCTAGACTTTTCAAAGTTGCATAGCTGCAAGATGGTCACTGCTAACAAGCTATTGCGCAGTTTTATTTCTAAAGAAACAATGTATTTCAGAAACTGCAATTCAGCAGATTTAATTAACTAAAATGTAATTATGTAACTTGATTTACTCTTTGGATGGCATTTTTTAATACTAAACCTTTAATTCAAACTACTAGCATATTTTAGCTTTCCTACCCAGAAGTCTATTTTTCACACATGGAAGGGGGGAGGAAGAACTTAATATTATCCTCTCCATTCACAGAATATTATACTGTTTTGATTACATTTCTTGGTTTCACATTGAAGAGTTTGTAAAAACTAAATTGGGCGGTTTTCAAGTTAAGAATAGGTGAATGCAAAAACATTATGCTGGGGAAAATAAGAAGTCCCCAAACGAAAAACAAACAGACAAACGAACAAAACAAATACAATAAAACAGCAGCTCTACAGAACTTAATAAAAGTAAATCAACTTTGAAATTAGTTAACTTTGGCGTCCAAATACAAAATGTTTATCAGTATCATCTACGCAGTGACTAGTACAGGATGTGCAGCATTTTCAAAGTCCCTGTGTGTCCCTTATATGCAAGTTTGGTGCACTCAAGTTCTGTGGTTCCCATCCATCTCTGGACCACTGAGTGTCACAGAACTCAGATCCTGGGCTGAGTAAGCCTGCAGTTTTCATTTTTTTTTCCAGAGACAGATCTTCAAATCTTCCAGATTTCTCAAGCATCTTGAAAAGACAAGAAAACCTGCATAAAAATAAATTATTCTAAGTCATGATCAATGTAGTGATGAGGCAAGCAGGCCTGCTTTTCATCCTGCCCAGCTAGCTTTACACCTGAAATAACAACACACAAATTGTATTCATTTAAACACTGCCTGGCCCATTATCTCCACTCCCTTATTGGCTAACTATCACATATTGATCTAACCCATTTCTAATATCTGTATTGCTACTTGACTGTGGCTTACGGGCATGAGTCTAACCAGCATCTGTCTTGGAGAGGAGAGTCATGGTGTCTGTCTGACTCTGCTTTCTTCCTCCCAGCATTCTGTTCTGTCTATTCCACCTATCTAAGCTGCTGTCCTATCAAAGGCCAAGGCACTCTATTTATTTGACCAATGAAAGTAACACATAGACAGAAGACCCACCTACATCATTTCCCCCTTTTCTGTTTAAACAAAAAAGGCTTTACAGTTATAATATTTATATCTATTTTATCTTTTATCATAACTAAAGAGGTCAATATGGTAACGATAACAGAAATACAGCACCCATTCTACCATGAAGAGAGCTTTATTACTGTCACCTTTCATACTACCATTTTACTACTTCAGAAATTTATAAAGTTATTATTCTGTACAACAAACCAAGAAACAGAATGATCAGTTAAAGCTTAACATAGAAGAAATCAGCAAACACTTAAGTCATTCCTTTTCCACAGTAAGTGCTTAAGTACACACATGAACACACACACACACACAAAATCACATATATCCTCTCAAACTTAAAATCATCTCCCCAAAAAAAAAAACAGCAAGCAACTTCATAATTAATGAAGACTGACATATTCAAATCTCTATTTTGGATTAGTAATTATTAAATTCTTATGTTGCTGATATAATGCAGGGCCGTTGCTACTTAAAAAAAATACTCTGTTGGTTTAGATTTCTGCAGGCAGCTGTGTAGAAAGATCAAGCTAACCTATATAAGTTCATCTCAAACCTTAGTTGTTATCTAAGGTTGACAGATATATGCTGATGACCATGAGAGGGGATGTATTCCAAAATCCCATGAGCTCACTGTGACATCAAAGAAAAAAAGTGTAGTGATGAGACCATGAAAGAAAAAACTAGGTCTGCTGTGGTTTTAGGGTTTGCTAATCTCCATCACGATAACATCAGAACCCTTCAGGGTCAATGACCACTCTTCTGCCATCCAAGGACACCCGAGGAATGATCAAAGATACTCCGTCTTCTGGCCCCTTGATCTAGGACTTTCCAGTGAGCAAGACACTGAGCAAAGAGATTTTGTTCACCATCAGCCACCTCAGGTACTTTGTTAGGTTTCATTGACTGCACTAGAACAGACTAAAAGGAGCATATTTATCTGCAGGTTAAAGATTTAGGGATATACTTTACCATGTTAAACGCTAAATACCTTTTTCTGTAGCTTAGCCTCACCCAGAACTTCCACCACCATGCCCAGCAAAACTTCCATTTTATTAGCACTGTTTTTTTTTTTTAAACTATTTCTTTTAAAATGGTTCAGTAATTTCTCATAATGGTATTGACCCAGACACAGGACAACACACAACAGTATTTCAAAGTATCCTTGCCATCAGAAAATGTTTTAATGTTGGGGATACAGCTCAGTGGCAGGGCACCACCTAACCAGAAGAGAAGTTTAAATTCAAGCTCTAAAACAACAATAGGATACAGATTGGGACTGTGAATGTACCTCAGCGTAAACTGCTGGCATGTACAAGACCATGGCTTTGATTTCCAACACCATAAAACAAAACCAGTAAAATCTCTACCTTTCCAATAGTGAAATAAAAACACAGATACTCATGTGCCCTGATACAACCTCACTGCATCTCACTGCTCGGCACCACAAATCTTACTATTCCATCTGTACTGAGGACCCTACAGAGACCCCAGGCGATAGTGCCCCAGTCTCCCGTGCTTTTGCTTTCATGTGCACCCAGCTGCAGTTCTCACTTCTCAATCTGTTAAGTTATCCTCATCAATGCTGCAAACAAGTTTCTTGAGCACATCACTTCAATGCCTAGACTTCTAAAGAGCAAGAGATACTAATTACAACATTTATTTATTGTCTGTGGAGGTGGGCACATGGGCAGAGGTCAGAGAACAACATGTGGCAATTGGTTCTCTCCTTCCACTCTGCGGATCCCAGGGATGGAATACCAGTTACTAGGCTTGGTGACAGGTAACTTTACCACTGTCCTAATTAGGGGTTATCATCGCTGTGATGAAACACCATGATCAAAAGTGAGTTGAGTTGGGGAAGAAATAGTGTCTCTGGCTTACACTTCCACAGCACTGTTCATCATCAAAGGAAGTCAGGACAGGAACTCAAATAGGGCAGGAACCTGGAAGCAGGAGCTGATGCAAAAACCACAGAGGGTGCTGCTTACTGATTTGCTTGGTGGGCTTTCTTATAGAACCCAGGACCACCAGCCCAGGGATGGTACCACCCACAATGGGCTGGGCCCTCCCCCACTAATGACTAATTTAAAAAGTGCCCTACAGGTTTGTCTATAACCCAACCTTATGGAGGCAATTTCTCAATTGAGGCTTCCTCCTCTCTGTTGACCCTAGCTTGTGTCAAGTTGACATAAAACTAGACAGCATACACAATGAGCAGCACCTTGCTAGCCTAAAGCACAAGAAATTATGCGAGGATAGCAGAGAACAAGACCCTAGAGCTTCTAGTTTAATAGCTGCTCAGCAAGTTTACTGCTGGCTATAGTGTTCTCTCCTTGATCATGAGTCTCTCAGGTCTCTGAAGGGTTACAAGATTAGCTAAATGCTTCATATTTAAAGAGAGCAACTAAGTTAACCTTATATGCCTTACTTTAATTTACCTTATGGGACATATATTAAAGATAGTTATCATTTACCTAAACTCACTAAGCATTTTCAAATAAATTAACTCGGCAGAACAGACTACTCTCCATTTACTACTGCAGTGTGATGCATTTGCCTATTACAGATACAAACATTTTATTTTACAACATGTTAAGGATGGAAAGGAGAATGGCTAGTCACATGATGTAACTTTTTGAAGGATATGTTGTCTAATCATCTCAAAATCGTTAAGTCATCAACGTCAGAACAGCTGGGAGCAAACCAGCACAGGACTGTGTCCTCAATAAGTCACCTTTCCCAGCTGCTCTAACTTCCTTATCTAAGCACTGAGCAGTACTACCCTAACAGCAAACAAGTAGTGGACAGAAAATGACACCAGCACACAATACTTCCAAATGACTGGAATTATATTACCTAAGAAAACACCCGGGACAATGCTCAAGCACATAGATTAAACACTTTGCAGTCTGGAACTTGCAATGTACCTTGTTTCTTTTTATCTTTCATGTGTGAGACTGTGTGTGTTCATGGGCTCAGCCAGAAGTTGACAAGTCATGTCCTCCTCAACTGCTCTCCACCTTATTTTTGATATAGGGTCTCTCACTAAATCTGGAGGTGGCCAACAAGGCTAGACTAGGCTAGGCCAGGGAGCTCTAGGTGTGGATCAGCTGCCCAGTGCTTTTCACACAGGTTCTGGGATCAGAGCTCGGGGTCTTCATACTTCCCTGGCATGCTCTTCTGAAAAAGAGGCAGCAGAAGCCACAGGGCTGGGGACAAATGAGAGGTACGAGTAGCAGCATCTGAGAAGCACCCACTTCAACCCCAAGGGCAGCTCAGCAGGGCAGCAGGACTGTGCGGCCCTTTTTAAACTACCTGACTCAGACAAAAATGATTTGCACTATGTTGTCCATATGCAACACAAAAGCTCCGATGAGTGTGATACAACTTACTTTTTAAATCATGGGACTTAATCTCTCTGACCCTTAAAGAACGTTCTGGAAAATGTGGTCATGATATGTATCTCACTGTTTCCTCCCAGTATTAAACTGTGAGTAAATAAACAAACATGTTTTTAAGTATCAAGAGTATTCTAGTTACACAATACCTAACTCTACTCAAGAATCAAGAATAGCTGCTTTTAATTAAGTAGTTTTTTGTTGGTGTTTTGGTGATGGAATTAAACCAGGGCTTTTGACAATCAAGTCTGTATTCTAACACAGCCTCCTTAGTATATTTCTAAATGTGAGTTTTCATATAGTAGTCTTACAAAATACCTAGAAAACATACACAGAGACGCACACAGAAATGTGCCTCTGTGAATAACTGGATGAAGGAAAATTAGAGCTAAGGACTAGAGGGACAGATAGCTAGCTCAGCAGCGAAAGTCAGAACTTCAGAACCTGTGTTCTGGGACCTACATGGTAGAAAGGCAGAACCAATTCCTACAGGCAGGTTGTCCTCTGATCTACACACACATGCCAAGGCTTGTGCATAATCACATGCTGCAGGCCTGTGTGTGCACAAGAACGCGCGCTTGCACACACATACATACACACACACAGTTGAAAAATAAAACTGAAGATGAAATAGTAATTCCAAATAAGATTTTATAAATCAATTAAAACAAAAAAGGGACAAATTACCCATGACACAGGAATCAGATGCTTAATCTGAAGGGTGCTCTGGACAAGATCTATTTACTTCAAACCATTCATCTATGCAGCTAGAAAAGAACAAACCAGAAAAGTATAAATCCTATGTTTAATCACATCCTATAGTCATAATAAAAATATCAACTACTTGACTTTAGTGTCTTTGGAAAAAATCACTATCTTTAATGATCACACCTAACAAATACAGTAAAAGATGTTAAATATACTTCAGTTATTTTACATTATTAAAGGGGAAAATCCTCAAACAATTATGCTATGACATACTTTCAAACTCAAAAAGAGTAATTATTACCTTAAAGAACTACCATTTCATTAATATTCAAGAGTTAGAAAAACATTTTCTTTTCAATAGTTACACATAGGCCTGATCAGTTTGCCTATCAATGCAATAAAATTAAAATGCTTTAAAATTATAATTCTTGACAATATTGTTTAACATTTAAAAATTCCATGATTATATGTGATTATTGAACCTTTAGTTCCACCTTGCTCTGCAATCCATATATATACAGACAAAGAAACCCTAATCTATTTGTATTTATAGAGCATTCATGATCATTCTGGAAATTCTGCACAGGGTACATACAATTATCTTCTTCCTTTGGGTTTTCGTATGTATATATATGTGTGCACACCTGTGGAAGTCAAACACAACCTTGGAGGTCATTCCTCAAGTATTGCCCACCTTTTTTTTTTAAAACAAACAAACAAACCAGGGCTTACTACTAGCCCGGAACTCGCTAGGTTGGTTAGTGAGGCTAGCTGTCCAATGAGTCCCAGGGATCCACCCAGCTCCACCTCCTTAGCACAAGACTGGAAGTGCTAGTCACCACTCGGTGAGCTTCTGTGTCTGTTTTCCAAGGACTGAACTCAGGTCCTCGTTCTTGCAAGGCAAGCACTTTATTGAGCGATCTTCAAGCCCATAATTACGTTCCAGTGCTCAATTAACAACAGAGTCCAGTTCTGTAGTTCCCCTTTAAGTGCTCTTGGTAGTGACGGGCAATGGCTGCTGCACTATTGAAACACATTTCCCTCATTGTACAAAAAAAATTGTTCCTTCACTGTCCCAAATTCACAGAACTGTGGCAAATGACAACACTGATGTCTTCAAAGGACAGGTAACTGTTGAATTAGGAGCGGCTGGGCTGCGTCCCCGGCACCCGGCCGCCCGCATGGCTAGCTTATGCCCAGAAATAATTACACGGAAACTGTATTCTTTCAAACACTGCCTGGCCCGGCTAGTTCCAGCTTCTTATTGGCTAGCTCTTACATATTGTTCTAACCCATTTCTAATATTCTGTGTAGCCCATGAGCTGGCTTACCAGGGAAAATCTTAACCTGCGTCTGTCTGGAGTGGGAGCATCATGGCGACTCCCTGACTCAGCTTCTTTTTCCCAGCATCCTGTTCTGTTTACTCCACCTACCTATGTTCTAACCAATAAAATGGGCCAAGGCAGTTTCTTTATTAATAAGAAATCACTCCCACATCAGGTAACTTGGCCAGCAGCGTGTGAGTCACTAAAGCAGGACTCAAACTGTTCTGAGTTCTCACTGGAGGGACTGTTAATTCCTGCATGCTCTACAGTGAGGTCAGCTAGTATCCTGAAGGGGAAAGGAGACACGCCATTCTCATACTCTGGTGAAAACACTAGGAAAAATGTAAATGACCTCAATAATCATTCATATCTTCCAAGTGGCTAAAGTAACTCCTGATATCACTCAAATATTTGCTCTAAATATCAAACCCTAATTTGGTTATGACATGTTTTCAGTCTGGACTGTACCACTGCACCCTAAAAGACCTCCCAACTACAAAAATACATCTTAGAACAGTCCAGTGGTGGTTACGCTCATAGTCCACTGAACAGCACTTATGCAGTCTAAGATGGGTTCTTCCTTTATTAGCCATGTAATCTGGGCTCATCATGAGACGGCAATAAATAACTCCAGTCCCATTTCATGTGAACTAATACCAACCCACATAGTTTCTACTGTAAACTACCCCATTAGTTGTTCAGACAGTGATACCCCTTTCTCCTAGCAGCTCCAACAGGAAATCAGTGTTCTAAATTTAGTACTTTTTATTCTCAAACATTTTCTTACCACATAATTCTAAAGGCATGTATTTTTAAAACACACAGCATTGTCCCATGTTTAAAAACCTAAATCAGTGCTACCATAAATATTATTCCTTATTTGCCTTCTTCATATGTGCTTTTAAATTTGTATTCCATTATGTAAGTACAGTATATGGATTTGATGCCACAAGCCTATAAATCAGAGTTGCTTGAGTTGCTGAGGCAGGAGGATTAAAGGCTTAAGACCTAGAAGACATGATATACTGTTTTAAAATAAATGACAACAAGCATGCCAGTTTACTTATCTATTCTTTCGTTATAGATAGTCCCAATTATCTTTTAACAGTCTCTCAAAGGTCATGCAAATTATAAATTAATCTTGTCACTAATTACAGCTTGAATTGGCTTTTTAGAAAGTCACAGTAAGGCTTTTTCAGTGCTGGCTCACACCCTGGTTTAGATGCCGTCTTTCCTCTTGGTCTTAATTTTGGGTAGCAGCTGTCTCTAGACTTGGGAGTAGAATGACTGCCTCGTGACTTATATACTGTAACTACAGTTGCCTACCAACTTCAATCTTTTTTACTGAATTAAGAGCTAAAAATTTTTCATTTTAAAAATATTTTATCATAATTTATTCGTGTGTGTGTGTGTACATGCTCTGGTGACCGTGTGGCAGCCAGAGTCCACGGGAGTGAGTTCTTTTCTTCCACTTGAGGGTCCTGGGGATCAAACTCAGGCTTGGAGATGAGCACTTTCACCCACTGAACTATCTTACTAGCACCAATTGTTTTCTTTTTCTTTTTGAATGATCTATAGTTTTTTTTCTTACAGATTTTCAAGAACCTACTATTGTTTGGGTATCTCAGTTATAATATATGTACGTGGGGTGAGGTCAGGGATCTGAAACAAGGTCTTGCTATGTTGATCACAAATCCAAGACCTTTCTGCTTCAATCTCCCAAATTCTGTAATCACAGGTAGATACTATCATGTCTGGCAATGTATAGTGCTTTTTAATAAACTTTTCCACAAAATCTTAAACTCAAAGTAAAAAAGTTTGATGGTAAAAATCTGGTTAAAGGCAGACCATGCAACATAACTTGTTACCAGAACAAAGACATGTTCATTTCTAATAAACACTGTACTTCTGGAACGTAATGAGTTCAGTGTCATATGTACTTCATGGCTTGTTGTAATCAAGCGTGCTCTCGTTTGCAGCTCTACAAAGTAGCACTTATGGTGCTAGAAAAGGTATCACATGGATCAGAGTATTACCATGTCACTACGCTATCATGCCAATTGCAAGCATTATCTGCTCTAGCAGTTAACCAAAAGACTGCATGCTAGTTCAAACACAAGACTGTTGTTGTCATGCTAAAAGTCATCTCCACTACAAAGTCTAGTTTCTACCGCTAATGTAATTTTTAATAGCCACAATTTTTAATATTTAATATCAACCTTCTAAGTTTATCTTTTAAATTTGTCTATGTGTATGTATCTGTGCCTAAATGTATGTAGAGTACCATGTGTGTACATGATCCCTTGAATGTCAGAAGAGGGGGTTAAAACCCCTGGAACTGGAGTTACAGGAGGCGGTGAGCCACCATGTGAATGCTGGGAATGGAGCCCAGGTCCTCTACCCAAGAGCAGAAAAGTACTCTTAGCTATTGAGCCATCTTTGAGCACCTCCTAAGCTTATTTTAGGGGAGGTGGAGGGAAGAAAGGTATATCTTAAGAAAAATTTCTTACCAAAAGGTCAAAAACAATTTTCTATTTTTTCCCCTACATCCTTAGATATTTGAATTTCACAGCTATTATGGAGACCTAGAATTTTTATTTCAAACTTTAAAAATGATTCAACTGTTTCTCCATCTTGATAACAGTATCAGTTGAGCCCAGCACCGCTCAACAGCACACTGTAACGCTACACTGCAGCGCCATTATGTCAGTGTCACAGAGTCAATTTAGGTCCAGCACTTCCCGAATTTTAACACATCTAAATCCTCACAACTATATGAAGTTTGTACTATTGTCCTTAAACATTCAGAGACAAGAAAATCAAAACCTGTCTAAAGTCACACAGTATATTAATTAGTGGAAGGGTGAGAGCCCTGATTCCAGTCTCCATTCCCTTAGGTCCCATGCTGTGGTCTCCCTGGTCAGGCTCATGTGTTTATGGACTTAGTTTTGTCCTTGCTTGTTTAATTTTTGCATCGCTTAAGGACATATGTCCTAACAGGATTATTCTCCAAGAGTACGGGTACCGTTCTTTGGCCCTTCACTTGTTGGCCCATATATATGTATTTTTAGAAACACTGTCCATTTACAAGAAACTAAGACTTGACTGGGATAACATTAGTTATATAGGCTAATTAGGGTCAACTATAGTTTTTATAATACTGAGTTTTTCTATACACACCATGTTTTATATGTATTTTAATCATATATACCTTACATTTCAATAAAAGTTTAAATTTTTTAAAGACTCAAACATCTTTTATAGAAATTATTCCTAATACATTATTGCTTTTGCAGCCCTTTTTTAAAAATAAATTTTAATGTTACTATTTAAAGAAAAGTTCTACTTAATTTTTTTTTCTTTATGGGACATGAAGGCAACAATTTCCACATCACCTATCTGGAAACCCCATAAACTCTCATTGATTTTAATAATTTTTATTCCCTATCTCTTTCTCTACCCACCCACCCATCCATCCATGTGTGTACATGTGTGTAAGTATGCAGGAGCCCTGGTGTGGATGTAGAGGTCAGAGGACAGCATACAGAAGTTGTTTCTCTCCTTCTGCCATGCATGTTTGGGGGAACAAGCTTGAGTCGTCAAGCTTGGCAGCAAGCGCCTTTGCCTGCTGATCCATCTCACTGACCCAGTTCTAATAATTCACCTATTGTTTAGCCTGGGTTTTTGCTTTAAAGGTCACAAACACAAATGACTTTTCCTTAAAGCACCCTCATTTACTGAGTAGCTGTTCATCCCCAGCATAAATCCAAACTGGTCCTGAGGTATAATTTCTACTCATTTACTTGCTTATTTATTTTCTATGCGTGTGTTACTGGTAGCCGGTGCCAGAACCTTAAGGCAAGTGCTTTCCCACTGAGCTATCCTCAGTATGAGACACTATTTCAGACAGGTATTGCGAAATCTGGATTTTTGCATTTTAAGTTTCCTTTGCACATGGTCCTTGTCTGATGTCCAATCTCTGCTATTTTCCAACTCATTCTCTGCATGCCAGAATCCACTGTCAAACCATCTCTGAAGGCCTGCTTAAGGGTTTATTTTTCTCCAATCAATGTTTGTCAGTTTTCAGATTTAATCTGAACTTCTTAAAGCAGTCAGTAATTGAAGTTTTGAATTTTTAATCATTATTTATAAGATTACACATTATAAAAACTGTCCATTTTTTAAAATTTGTAATTCAAGGATATTAGCAGTGAGTTTTCCATTTATTCTTAGTTTGTGCCAAATTATGTCCTTTTCTATTTTTTTTCCTTCTGGAGACAATTCTGCTGTAATTATCTCCAACTTTAGCACACTGCTGTCTTCACCCACCACTTTCTTCTGTCTGCCGCTGCTCTGTCGACTCTCACCATCTACTGAGAAATCTCCCGACTGCTCACTCTAGGCACGTCCAGCTGTTTATCATTGTTCAGTCATAACTACTTCCCCAGTTCCCTGATGATTTGTCCTGTGACTTACACATTATTCAGAGGATATCTAAGAGTAAGTTCTGCTGTCATCCTGGTGACTGATGATGGTCAGAGGTATGCTGCCATTGTGAGAGTTTGCTGAGATATGCTTAGTGGATTAAAACACAACTCATTTCTACAATATTCTTTGTGTCCTTGACAAGGAAACGTCTGCACTCATCAGACTGAACCAGGGGGCAGGGGATCAGTTCAGTGGGAAAGAACAGCTCAACACATGCAAGGCCCTGAACTCTATCTCCAGTACCAGGAAATAAAAGAGACTGGGAAGGCGGAAGCCAGGCACAAGAGCACATCCAAAACACCTGCTCTCAGGAGGTTGAGGGAGGAACAAGTGTGAGGGCAGCCTAAGCTACGTGCAGATTTTGAAGCTATCCTGAGCTATGCAATTAGATCCTTCCTATCTGCAAAAACAAACAAAATCAAAACTTGGCAAACTAAAATGGCTCAATTTTTCTGTATATAGACTCATTTATTTTATTTGTTTAATCAGGAAAATTAAAAATTTTCCATTATGGGCTGGAGAGATAGCTCAGTGGTTAAGAGCATTGCCTGCTCTTCCAAAGGTCCTGAGTTCAATTCCCAGCAACCACATGGTGGCTCACAACCATCTGTAATGAGATCTGGTGCCCTCTTCTGGCCTTCAAGCATACACAGAAAGAATATTGCATACATAATAAATAAATAAAAATTTTCCATTATGATGGCACAGTTGTCAGTTTCTTATGTTAACACAGATCATTAACAAGAATTTCAGTGTTTACCATTATATAGTAATGTTCTAAATGAAGCATCCTTTAATGGTTTACATTGTGTGGCATTGGTACCCAATGTTAGGTTTAGTTATCACTGCCTGGATATAGCTCTCTATCCTTTGATTCCATATTAGCCTGTACCTTTCAAGCATGTTACTTATCAACATCATATTCTAATATTTCACCTACTTTCAGTTTATTCTTATAGATATAATTACTGGTATGTTTGGATTTATTTTGGTCTCCTTATTTTGAATTATTTACTCTGCTTTCTGTTTTTGCTACCATCTCCCCTATTCTTAGGTAAAATTCCATTTTATTCTTTTCCTTGGTTTGAATGCTACAACTTCATATTCTTTTTTTTAATTTAAATGTATTTTATTATTTCTTTTAATTTTGTATATGTGTGCAGTTGAGTACCAGTGCCCTCTGAAGCCAGAGGTGTTAGATCCCTCTGCCTATACCCTCCCCAAAGCTGGAGCTGTTGGTGGCTGTGAACTGCTTGACACAGGTGCTGGAAGCTGAACTGACCAGTGTGTGCTCTTAACGCCTGAGCCAACAATCCGGTTCCTAATTTTCTATTCTTTATGTGGCTACCTTAAATAGTGGTTGTTTTGCATCAGGGTCTCTCTACTAGCCCTGGAACTTACTATGTAGACCAGGCTGGCCTATAATTCACAGAGACTCACTTGCTTCTGCCTCTTGAGTGCTGGGATTAAAGAAGTACGTGACCACACCTGGCTTTGTATTTTTAACTCAAAATCTTTCTGTATTATTCTGAAAGCAAGAAGAATGTATAAAAAGAACAGATGGGCTTGGGAGTCAATCTCCTGGAATTCCCAGTTTGTTGGAATCTTGGTTTGCCACTTGCTAGAAATAAAGGCCTGGAGAAACCTCCTCCTTCTCCTTCTCCAGCTGTAAATGAAGGGCTGCTCAGCTGACACAGACCACCTGCTGATCTACATGGAGACAGCTGCACCACACTAAGGGACTTTATAAACGTCAGTCTAGTTACAACAGGCATCGGTTCAGATTTTATCTGAGCAAGGGGGAGAATGGGAGTTGGGTGGGATGCTACTGAGATTCTAAATTGAGAGGAAGAATTAGAATGAAGAAGAAACTGCTTAGCCCTAACTACAATGTTTGAAACTAAGAGAATGATCACTTTGCTTTAATATCAACCTTGCTAGAGCAATACTAAACTTACCCTTTATGATATATACACAGGCAAGGCAGTCGTGCTATGGTATCTCCCTGCTGCAATTCTTCAAGGCATATTGCACATTCCCCAGCATCTTTACTCAGCACATCCTCTGTGAAGAAAAAAAATGAATTCAGTACAAGGAAACTAGCCTGAGAAACTAAAAACAAAAACAAGCAGAAAATGACTTACTATACCTGTACAACTAACTATACAAAACTCAGCACCTGTACTTGAAGCACTGTTCACACTGAATGAAGTTCATCAAACCTGCTTCACCAAGGCATAAGAGTAAGCAAAGACACACTACAATAGTTCTCAACTCACACAAGAGTCTGATCCAAACAGCTAACAACTCAGTCATTTGTTATCTGGAATTAATATTCTTTCTGCTGTGTATCAATATTAGTGTAGTGTTCACAATAGTTCAAAAAAGTTTAGTGCAGTATCACTGAAAAGACACGAATATAAAATACCTTTATAAGTTTTTTAATTAAAGGAAACAAAAAGAAATCACCCTGAACAGAAAGCTGCTAAAAAGTTCCTTATCTCAAAAAAAAAAAAAAAAAAAAAAGGCAGAAGGATATCAATACTCTTGTTTAAATTCTGCAAGCGACTTTAGGAACTTGAGGGTTTCAGACTGGGCAAGGAGGAAACTCTTCACAGCCCTTCTGTCGACAGCGCCACGCCAACCCCAGACGGCGATCAGAGTGGCTTCCAGACAGCGCTGGTGGTACTCTGAAGACTATGGTGTTTAAAAAAAAACCAACAGAAAAACTCTTACTACAAAGCAGATACTCCTTTAAAGAGCTCTGAAATTGCAGTTTAAATCGTTTTAATGTTATTTATTTATTTACTTCTGAGGCGGGGTCTTAATATGCAGACCTGGCTGACTTGGCCTCAATTACAAAGATCCTCCTCTGCCTCTGTTTCTGCTTCCTGAGTGCTGGGAATAAAGATCCCAGCACTACATGTGCTTAATGTTCAATTTTAACCCTGCCTGCACTAGCATGTTAGTTAGGTATCTTTTGTGACCTTTAGAGCTACGCTGAAAACCATGCCATCTCTACAGAGTATGAATAAAAAGCCTACAGAGAACAGTGTGGCTCCCTCTCAATGATTCATTCTGAGACAGCAGATGGAGGAAAAATAGTCTATTTTGGTCCACAGAAAAGCCTGGCAATGAACAACTTCCGTGAATAAAAAAGGTATCAGCGCTCATAAGTTAATGCATTATGATCGGCAACTAACACAGAGATAAAAGAAAGTTTTATACCATTTCCCCTTTCCTGTTTTCTCCCTACATTAGAGTTCTCTTCTGTCTCCTTCTTGCCCCTTTATCTCCACTGAAGTCTTAGTGTCTAGTCTATCATTCAAGGACCCAGTTTCCAGTGAAAGCTCTAAGCAGACAGACAGCAGGAAGAGTAAAAAGGATGGGTCTCATTCCCAGCATTGCAAAACAGAGAAACACCATTCTGTAAAGGTTTTCTCTAAAAAATTCAGTATTCTAAAAAATACAGTATATTCCTACCACGTAGATTTTACCCACAAAGATAAATCAATATAAAACCAAACAAATCTGTGAATGAGTTTTCTAATAAACTTCAAAATTGAGGCACTCCTTTTATGCAACCCATAAATGATTATGAGATGCATTACCAGTTTCATATAACTCAAGAAAGAAAAACATAGCCCCGTAAGGTATGACACATACTCTGAGCTTAGGCAGGAGGACTGCAACTTCAAGGTTAGCCTGAGACATAGAGAGACCCTGCTTCTAAAGAAACAAAAGCAAACAAAACTGCAGCACCCATTGATCTTAAAACAAACCAGTCTCTTCCAGCTGCCTGACAATGCATTCTGGTGTTGGGAGAACTCTCACGCTCATCACAAAATAAGATGAATGAAACGAGCATTTGAAAAACAAACATCATTACTATTTTCCTGTATTCTACATAACAGATTCAACATAAAATAGAAATATGTAGAACTTTAACATGCTCTGAATATAGTGTTGAAAGAAAAAAATAACTGACTTCTAACATTTCTAGGCCAACCTATAACCAAGTCTCATTTCTTTATAACAATAACTTAAAAATTGACTTCGTTATGACAATTTTAGTATTTATTAAAGCTAAAATCTCTCATTAAAATTATTTAAAAATAGTATAGTCTGCCTATAAAATTCATACAACCAAGGCAAATTCAATCTACAAAATTATATTTAAGAATATAATGAAAAATATAAGAATTTATTCTAAGAATTCTAAATAATGCTGTTTTAAACCTGATGGGGGCAAGTATGAACCCTCAGATACTTCCTACCTTAACTTCAGAATGCTGTACTAAAGCCAGTTATCTTGATCTTTAGTTCTATTCAGTCCCGGTACAAAGACAATTGTACTTTAATATCAAGATAGGCACCCACACCCCGACAGCAGCTTACAGCCACAGCTCAGCCTCTGCTGCAAACAGCTTCCCCTAGCACTGCCAGTGTAAACACTCCAGCTACTCAATGTCAAATGTAATCTGGTAAGCAACTAAAGTAGCTCATTCTTGAAATAAAACCTCATAATCACTGAATCAAGGAAAAAATGTTGTTTTTCAAAATTTAAAGCCCCCCCCCTATAAAAATCTACCTGAAAACATTTTTACAGTTAAAAAAAATCACCATGCAATGTGAAAATTGAAGTGCATTTTTCTAAGTGTCCATCACCGACCTAACACACCTGGAGCAGTAAAGAGTGAACTTGGCGCACTGTTCATCATCCTACCTCTCAGGCTCTTCATAGCCGTGTATTAACTTTGGCATACAGATAAGGGAAAAGGAAAGTTAAGACTTTTAACAAGAGGTGGGTGCCAGAATCCCTCTGGGGGGCAGTTCATCAAAACACAGAGCTTCTCAGTGTCTGACAATCTACACCTGCTTCAGAAAGGGAACTGGTCACTAAAGAAGGGCAGGAAGTGCAGGAGATCTGAAGTTGAACTGGGTGTGGTGGACAGTCCTACAGCCAGACCCAAGAGGCTAAGATGGGAGAAAGGTATTCAAGGACAGTTAGCACACAGTGAGAAACTGGGGACGGACATACATATGCGCATGCGCACACACCCACACACGCACCCACACACCCCATCCACAAAAGTTTATGGGTCGGGCATGGTGGCATTAGAGGCGTGGGCCACCAAGAGTATCTCTCCATGAGTTCAAGGCCAACCTGGTCTACAGTAGTGAGTTTGAGGACAGTCTAGGTTATGAGACCCTGTCTCAAAAACAAAAACAAAACTAAATGAAAAAGCTGAGAATTGAAAATCTAATACAGATTCCCATTTTGCTAGTAGTTTGACTAATTAGTCAACCTCTGAAATATCCTACTTGTCTTTAGTATTAACGTAGGATATGTATTCAAAATATTATAGTTAAGATTTTAAAGAATTATATAAAATACTCTAAATTATAAAAGACTACATGAGATTTGCTTTATTAGTAGGAAGTACCTTATGGACTTCTTCAAAAACCAAAGTCAATTAGCATCCTATCCCTTCTCTTACTCATCCTAATATTCCAGTTGTTCAAAGAAATCCCTGTTGACTAGGAATGCCTTAGGCACTTCTGCCCTAGCCATCTTGACACACCCGTGACTATGGCCGGACCAGCACAGCAGCATGCAGACAGTGCTGCCCAGTGCTGCATATGCTGTGCCTTCCTTCCCACAGGCATACAAACCAGCACATTATTACATTCTTTTGGACATACTTATACTTTATGTTAATCTTACACAATAACAATTGCCATCTACATTTATACATGAGCAAAAAGGCTGGAGGAAGTTAAGTAAGTTAACCGAAGTATTAAATTAGTTGTGTTCTAGAACCAAAACTTTTGGTTGGCTAAATTAAATAGGTTTTTACCTACTTCATAAATTGTGTTATAATGAAAAAATAACTTCATTTTTAAAAGCTTTCACATTAAAGTAGCGTAAGTACTGATGTAAATGAGCAATGTTAGACAACCATAAGATTGTGAAATTCTCAAGCTGGAGAGGACCACATTTTTAGAGAATGTATTCTTTTTTGGTTGAGTTCTGTTAAAACTCTGTATGCTAGTGCCCTGAGGCCAGAGGCGCTGGATCCAACAGAGAGGGAGTAGCCGGCCGCTGCCTCATAAGGTACTAGGAATTGGACTAGGGTCTTCTCAGAGAGCAGCACGCACACTGTTAACCACGGAACCATCTCCCACCAGCCTCTGGGGAAGCTATTAACACTGGTCACACTTCATCTTCAGAAGTTAATAATACATTATAAAGGTGGTGGTATGAAGTCGCTCGCGCTCCACTGCTTCAAGAGCTTAAAGCAATCCTGGCCAACATGTTTTATTATAAAAGAAATAGTATTATCTGTGCTATCTACACTGGCCACATACCAACTAGAATGAGCTCTTGAATTTTCAACTTGTGGTAAAATATCAAACCTCAAAATACATAATAGCTAATGAACATACATTTAAAAGGTAATTAGAAACTTCTGTAAATTGTTGTTTCAGTTACAGATTCTCAAGCTCTTTAACTGTGCATTGTCCAAAGAGAGTACTTACAATTCAAGCAGCCAACTATGCAAAATTAAAATATTTAGCAGGTCCAAGCACATATCCATACAGTTATTGTGGATCAAGACAACATGAAGAAAAGCAGACAGCCAAAAGTCAAAGCCAAAACAAAACCAAGGCCGAGTGTGAGGCAGCCAGGACTCCATGCACAGTCTAAATCACCACAGTTAACTTTCCGACAAGCACCAAACAGGAGGCTCATCTTTCCAGCCAATACGATGCCGAGCACTATCACAGATCAGGCGTTTTACCTGAAGATTTACTTTTTCTTGAACCCTCAATGATAGCAGAAGAAAACAAAAGCAGCTGAAATGTGAAATAATCCCTAGAAAATCAATAATTAAAAAAAACCACAATATTAGTAAAAGCAATTATTCAAATAATGAAAAGTGGGGCTCTTTTATTAATATTTTCAGATATCTCTTAATTAGGTTAACAAGAGTCAATACTAAGACTTGACATTTCAGATCCATGAGTTGTTTTACTCAAATACTGTAATGCAGTTTATA